TGTCTGGCTATTTCCTTCTCTGTCCAACATTAGGTGATCCCTGAAATCTCATCCCCTTGGTAAGCCTATCCTGCCTCCTCCTACCAACTGAACTTTTACTTTCTTCATCAATTCATCCCCGCACAGATACTTGTTCCTCCTCTGTTAGATTTTAAAGCGGAACTTTAAACACTCTCTCAATCAATATTGACTATGTTCGTAGGTGTGCGCAGCTTACTGCATTAGGGTGTGCACACCAAAGTTCAAACACACATGCATGTATACTGTAAATATATATATGAACAAGGAATGTTCAAGTCAAACTTTTGAATTTATATAATAAAAGAACAAATTTCAAGGACTGTAAACTGCATTTATTTTTTGGCATACACCATATTGCCAAAAGTATTGGAACACCCCTTCCAAATCATTGGATTCAGGTGTTCCAATCACCTCCATGACCACAGGTGTATAAACTTTTTTCAGTTGTTTTCTGGTTTCTGGCCTAGATCACATACATTTCAGGAGTCTATAGGTGGGGAGGAGAGGTTTTCTCAGCTAAGCACACCCTCCTGCATGCATGCCTGAGCTAAGGGTAAATGGATTCCAGGAAGTAAATGTTACATTAATCATCTACCCCTATTCAATGGTCACGGTCAGAAATGCTGGGGGGGATGTTTTTCAAAGTTTTCCAAGTGATTTCTCAGGGAAAAAACACATGAAACGTGGATAGATGGGGAGGTTTTCTTTGCATATTAACCACTTCTTGTCCGGACACTTTTACCCCCCTTCATGTCCAGGGCAATTTTCAGCTTTCAGCGCTATCACACTTTGAATGACAATTGCGCGGTCATGCAACACTGTACCCATATGAATTTTTTACCTTTTTTTGAGACAGATAAAGCTTTATTTTGGTGGTATTTATTCACCGCTGGGATTTTTATTTTTTTTTCGCTATGTAAATGAAAAAGTCCAAAAATTTTGCAAATAAATAATCTTTCATCATAAATCTTGACCAAAATGTATTCCGTTATATTTTTAGTAAAAAAAATAAATAAGCCAAATTAGTTTATAACCAAAAATTATAATTTTTAAACATTTTTTTTTACATTTTTATTTTGTTTTTTTTTATATTATTATTTATGTTTTTTTGGGGTTTTTTTTTTTTTTATATACTGTCACCCTAGCAGTACAGTGTCACCATGGTGACCATGGGGGTGATGAAGATTTTTTTTTTTTTTACAGTGATTGCTTTTACACCCATATAGGATGTAAAAGCAATCATTTCTCTTTCTCTCTGTCTGCATTCTTGCAGCCATTGAGAAATACTGAGTGAGCTGTGATTGGTCACACCTTGTCACATGGTATAAAGCTGTTGTGAATAGCCTTGTACCATGTGACCTCTGTGATCATTCACAGATTTCACACGTAGTAAGCAATGATGTCACAAGTGACATTTTTGCTTACTACTCTGCATGTGATCACTGATTGGCCAATCAGTGATCACATGATCGGGACCTCGTACAGAGGTCCCGTCTGACGATCGGTGTTTCACTGTGTCCGTAGGACACAGCGGGCACCGGATCGCGGCGCTGCGCGCTCTCAGGGAGCGCGCACAGCTAGAAAAGGCGGGTGCCGTTTATGAACGGCAACCGGCCCCTGGAGTGCCACCATCCTGCTGTATATAAACAGCAGGTGGACGGAAAGTGGTTAAAATTTATTAAAAAGTGGTTTTGGTTTGTGGTGCTCAGATGCAGTGTAGTTCTACTTTAAGCTCTCAGCTGCAGGGCTCTTATAAGACAGGCCATAGATTATGCAGTTTTTTTTCCTTTCACTATGGGAAGGCCTGTGCCTGTGCTCTACTGACTCTTCTGAAGGCTACTGTATGTGGCCCCTATAAAATATACCATACATTGAAGTAACTGTTCCAACAGTTATGTCACCACAGTGAAATATACCTTATGTTGGGGTGCAGAGATGCAAGCCATTACTATGTTTTACTTTTTTTTTTCAATGTATTTTTTTTCCTTTCTGTGACAACCACATACAATAATTATGCTAACATATGCCAAGAGAATAGGTCTGGGATGGGATCTAAAGTAAATGTAATTTTTTCTTTTGTTTTGTTTAGATTGGGTACAGGTTATATATCCTGTCATGTTATGCCATTGAGACAGAAATTGACTGCAAAATCCAAAAGTTTAGAGTTGTAACTAGAAAAGGAGGTGAGAATAAGTTTTCCAATGGGGACACCTGTAAGAGGGGGTTACTGCCCTGATTGTTTCTCTTTTGCCCACTGGGCATTGTTAGAAAGCAGGTCTAGATATAGGTGGGGAGGAGTCAGGAAGAGAGGAATGCAAGTAGAAGACAGATCATGAGCCCAGAAGGGTGTGGACCTCTGTGGAGGAGCTCATGTAGCAAGGGATAGAGTCTGGAAGTAAGAAGAACATACAGTAATTTTGGGGCATTATGGCACACAGCAATCTCCCTCTTTGGCAGTACCATAGGACAGGGGCCCATTATGAACAGCGAGATGTTGAAGCTATCCATGCATCTAGGAATGATTCTATCTATTGCTTGGAAGAAGTGTTGTACTAAACTTATCTTTGGAGACAATTGTGGTGGTAAACAATCACATGGGTCAGTTGGAAGAGGGAGGTTCCTCGGAGGAACTGGCTCAATTATTATATCTTACTGGCCTCAGCTGTATTGTTGACCATATGCTAACTGTAGTAGAAGAGGCCTCTGAGTTAAGGTATGCCGTATTTCCATCCAGGCCTATGGCCTGCAAAGAGAACAATGACAGACTCCACTGGCAACCATTGGGACATTCAGGTGTTCAGCATACTATCCTTCATTCAAAGTATACTTGCGGCAAGAGTGGCACTGATGTCATTATGGTGCTGCTTTCTGCATCTCTGAGGACTTTCCAGCCTGGAGAAAAGGCAACTTCCCTTCACTTCCTATCTTGACGTGAAAGTGGCAAGGGGATCTCCCTTCACTTCCTATCTGGCCATGTGAAAGTGGCAAGGAGATCTCCCTTCACTTCCTATCTTGCCATCTGAAAGTGGCAAGGAGATCTCCCTTCACTTCCTATCTGGCCATCTGAAAGTGGTAAGGTGATCTCCCTTCACTTTCTATTTGGCCATGTTAAAGTGGTAAGGAGATTTCCCTTCACTTTCTATCTGGCCATGTGAAAGTGGTAAGAAGACCTCCCTTCACTTCCTATCCGGCCATCTGAAAGTGGTAAGGAGATCTCCCTTCACTTTCTATCTGGCCATGTGTACTAGACCTGTGCAGTTTGTTTCTTTCTGTATATAAATTCAGGCACATTTTTAGTTATTTGGAGATTTGGATGTATCTGAATTTCCAAATTACAATATTAACAAATTCAAATGAATCCGAAATAGAGAAACAAAATTGTGTCCGAAATTCAAATTGAATATGAAACCGAGTTTGAAAATGAAATTGAATTTGAAAACAAGAGTAGAATAAAATAGGATAGAAAATAAAGGAATAGAATAGAATAAAATAGAAATTAATAGAATAGAAAAGAATAGCGTAAAACAGAACAGAATATAATAGCAAATAAAAGAATAGAATAAAATAGAATAGAAAAGAATAGACTAGAATAAAAAATAAAAGAATAGAACAAAATAGAACAGAAAAGAAAAGAGATAATAGAATCGAAAAGAGTAGAATAGAAAATAAATAGGATTACATTAAATAGACTATAATGGCCTTCCAAAATGTGAATGTTGAAAAGAATACAATAGAATAAAACAGAATAGAACATAATGGAAAATAATAAAGTAAAACAGAACAGAATAAAATGGAAAATAAAAGAAAATAAAAAATAGAATAAAACCTTCTTCTGAAATGCTAAGTTTGAAAAGAATAGAAGAGAATAGAAAAGAGAATAGAATAGAATAGAAAAAAACAATAGAATAAAGTAGCAAGAATATAACCATCTTCCGAAATTCGAATTTCGAATAGAATAAGTTCAAATTTGATTCTTTTCAATTCAGTCGAATTAAATTAAATTTGAAAAATTCAAATCGAATTCAAAAATGAATAAAGGAAACTAAGCAAAACAAATTCCGAAAACAAATTGAATGAATTTAACAAATTTAACTAAACAAATTTTTTAAAATAAGGAATGGAAACAAAACAAAATTTTCATTCTGCACGTCTACTGTGCACTCATTAAGGAGTTCTCCTTTAAGTTCCTATCTGGCCATGTGTATGTGATAAGGAGATCTATCTATTCATCTATCTATCTGGACAGGAAGTGATGAGAAATCTCACCAATGAGAATTCAAACCAAAACTCATTTTATTAGAATGGGGAAGAGTTAGATCTTCTGAAAAATGTGTTATTGCCTGCCCCTGCCTCCCGCTCCTCCCATTCCTTGTATTGGAGAACAGGACAGAATTTCCCTTTACATTTTCCCCCTCCATCAAAAACTAAAATTCTGCTGCGGATAGTCTTTATTAATAGGTTTTCTTTAAGTTTTCCCAACTTTAGGATTTAAAGCTGGAATTAGGGCACATAAAATGTAATTAAACATACTGCTCAATAGCCGCAAAGGATATAATTCCACTTTTTGTGCAGCAAATGCCTTTGCAAACCCAGTTTACAACTTTGTAACAGTAGCAGTGACAACATCGCTGGTCTGTACCTAGCCCGTGCAGAGAGCAGAGCTGTGGGAGGGGCCCAGCAGGCTTCACTCAATACAGGCTGCCTGCAGAAAGCTACAGGAGGGGGCGGAGACAAGACCAGTCACCCTGCACAAGGGGAGAGCAGCAGTGACCGGTCTTTATTACAGATGCAAAGTTTCACTCTTTATTACTGCACAGATCTGGAAGAAATACACAAAGCACACCTAGGTACAAGGCAGAATACGCCTGAGAAATGAATTTGGACAATATTTACTTATCCCGGAATGTAAACTAATGACACCAAAAATTTGGCCAAGTTTGGCATGCAAACCTAATTTCTAATTTTTCTAATGATTTTCAGAGAGGACAGCAGGAGTTCCATCTACAAGCAGAGACTGCCTCCAGGCCGGCGAGGCCTGCAAGAATAACCCGGGCTGCAGCTTCAATTTACGGACACTGCGTCAGTGCATAGCAGGGAACGGAGCCAACAAACTGGCACCCAACGCCAAGAGCCAGTGCAAACGCACCGTGGACGCTCTCCACTCCAGCCAGCTGCATGGCTGCAAGTGCAAACGAGGGATGAAAAAGGAGAAGAACTGCCTGAACATATACTGGAGCATCCACCACACGTTGATGGAAGGTGAGGATATCAGTCTATGTTGTTTTTTACATATTGGCACCAGTGCAGTAGAGCATTATCACAAATGTAACGTAACACTGTACTACTCTGGAGAAGTAATCAGGATTTTTTTTGTACACATTATGATTGCTTATACCAATGAATTTAATTCGTAGAAGCAACCATTTTTACTGAATGAAACTGATTCATTCAGTGTCTTTTTGTTGTGATTAGCTGTGATTGACCAAAGCTAATCACATGGTACAGATGGGCTGTGATTGGCCCTCTCTGTACCATGTGATCACTGTCACCAATCACAGCTAGTAACACAATTGTATATACAATGGATGGCATGAAAGGAAGCCATCCATTGTTTACAATTGTCATGTGATCTGCTGTGATTGGTCACAGTGATCACATGACACTAGCAGCATTCCAGTGCAGTGATCAGTCATCAGCTGTGTCCACGGCCGGCCGTGCGAGAGGTGCCTTCTGGGAAGGTGTCGTATGACGTCCACTCAGAAGGAGGAAAGTGCTGCCCAGCCGTCAATCTGCTTTAGGCTGGGTGGGAAGGTGTTAATATGATAATAATAAAATGGAGAAAAGAAAAGCAGTAAAATAGATCCCTTGGGGTCAGCAAAAATAGATTGCCCAGCAACAAGAGATCCATCCAGCAACAATAGACTCTCCTAACAACAATAGACCCCCCTGAAACAATAGACTCCCCCAGCAACAATAGACCTCCCAAGCAAAATTAGACCCCCCGCCAGCAACAATAGATCTCCTAGCAGCCAGCATCAAAAGATCCTCCAGCAGTCAGCAACAATAGACCCTTCCCTCAACAGTAGATCCCTCCAAGCAAAAATTTACCTCCCAGCAACAATAGATCCCATACCAGCAACATTGGACCTCCCTGCAACAATACTTTTTTCCAATGACAATAGATCCCCCAGCAGGCACTTCAATAGACAGTTCAGCTCATCCAAGCACCCTTTGCCAGTGCATAAATTTAGTGCTGGAGGTGCCAAAACTGCAACCCCTCGTGTTCCCGCTGAAAAAAAACTAGATCTGCTGCAACCCCAATGTACACCTTGCTTCTTGTGTTTGCTGACAACGGAGTGCTTCTGCTGTACTGAAATCCCAGGCGGTGTTGTCAGCCCTACCTGAATTGTACCCTGCTGGACTACAGGACACCTCTCCATTATGTAATGGAAATGAGGAGGGGGAAGGTTTTGTAGCCCTGCTTGGGAGAACTCAGATGGGGCTGACAACATTGCTTGGAAACATGGGAATGGACTGTGCATGTATTGTAGAGATGTACTCTGTACATTTTTTTTGCTCAGACATGCTCTTTAGATCCATATCAAGTGCACGCAGATGAGATTTGTGCCATTATAATCAGTGACACTAAATCCGTGTCTGCATATTATGCGGCTATCACACTATACAGAGATATAAATGTTACTGAACGGAAAAAACACAAAACCCTTCTCTCCCTGGAAAGTATGGGGTAAAATTCCTGGTTGAGACTTTCGCTTTTCAAAATGTCTTTCTTTCTCTGGAGGGAGAGGGGTTTAGTGAATACTTGTTAAATATGCATGTATTGTATATTTTTCATGCAGCTCCATTTATTTATATGGCAGATTCCTTTTTTTTTTAAAGGCCACCAAATTGAAATGCTTTTAGCTGTACCAAGTATAAATGGGGGCTTAAAGGCTAAGTACACCTTTTTTTTCTGAATTCCAGATCCCCTATGTACAAATACAGTATCTCACAGAAGTGAGTCAACCCCTCACATTTTTGTAAATATTTGATTCTCTCTTTTCATGTGACAACACTGAAGAAATGACACTTTGCTACAATGTGACGTAGTCAGCGTACAGCTTGTATAACATGTAAATTTGATGTCCCCTCAAAATAACTCAACACACCGCCATTAATGTCTAAACCGCTGGCAACAAAAGTGAGTCCACCCCTAAGTGAAAATGTCCAAAGTGGGCCCAAAGTGTCAATATTTTGTGTGGCCACCATTATTTTCCAGCACTGTCTTAACCCTCTTGGGCATGGAGCACACCAGAGCTTCACAGGTTGCCACTGGAGTCCTCTTCCACTCCTCCATGAAGACATCATGGAGCTGGTGGATGTTAGAGACCTTGCGTTTCTCCACCTTCTGTTTGAGGATGCCCCACAGATGCTCAATAGGGTTTAGGTCTGGAGACATGCTTGGCCAGTCCATCACCTTTACCCTCAGCTTCTTTAGCTGATAAGAAGATAGAATAAAATATTTAGATAAATGTGAGGGGTGTACTCACTTCTGTGACATACTGTATACCATTAGTATACTTCTGTTGCAGAAAAATAAAAGTTTTCTTTGATTTTAAGGACAAGGCATTATCTTAGCCCTTGCTGTGTTCCACAAAAGATTTGGGACATGAAAATCAGTAAGACACATGAAGCAGTTCACCAGCTGACCTCATTAGCACACACACCCTGCACCAATCAACTATCAACAACCCCAGCATCCAACCAGGCGTGTATTTGCCTGGCTTGTCGATGTAGGCTGCCACAGCTCCTATGTTTGCGCAGCATCCTCAGTGTCCACCCAGAAGAGCCTGGGCCGCATGCTAAACTCTCTGGGGCCACGGGTTGGTCACACCTGATGCAGTGCAAGGGCCTGCCTGATTGGATACAGAGTGAATGGATAGATAGGTTGGTTCTCCTATTCCATGGTTTTGGTAAATCTAAAGGAAATTGTACAGAGATCGAACAATCAGATTGTATAATGTCCAACCCGTGAGCCACATGCGATCCGGTGAGTTTAGCATGGAGCCGGGCCCATCTGGAGGGATGCTGTGCAAACACAGCAGCTGTGGCAGCCTACATTGACAAGCCAGGCAAATGCACGCCTGGAGTGATGCCAGGAATGCCGTGCAAACATACTTGATGGGTGCAGGGTGTGTGTGCTAATGAGGTTAGCTGGTGAACTGCTTCCTGCGTCTTACTGGTTTTCATGTCCCAAATCTACATACCAGGAAGTCATGAAGTTTTCTATGGAACACAGCTGGGGCTAAGATAAGGCCTTGTTCTTAAAATCAAAGGAAGCTTTTATTTTTCTGCAACAGAGGTAAATTAGTGATATATTGGTACATAGGAGAGCTGGAATAAAAAAAAAAAAGTGAACTTAGCTTTTAAGGCTTCCCAACCCTGGTAGCAGTAATTCCCATCATAAAAGATTATGGAACTTTACTTCTAACCTTCTATCACTCACCTTGTCAGGTCATGGTTAGGGATGAGCCAAACTCCCCTGAGTTCAACAAACTTCACATGCCAAAATAGACTAGACTAGAAATAAAAATGTTTTAGAACCCAAAAGCTCTTTATGAAAAAAATTAAAATCTGATTCCCCGAAAAATAAAGCTGACAACCCAGGCACGTGACCAATCCCAGCACTGCCCATAGCTGAATTACAGCTCCCTGATCTGTCAGCAGATAAATAAGGGAAGAGGTGGGGATAGTGGTAACATCATATACCAAGTGGCCATATTTAGACAATAATGTAAACCCCCCAGTCCCCGCACATTAGCTTACATGATTCCTGGATATGTAAATGAATGGGCTGGGTGACCTTGGTGGTTCCTAAGGATGCAGCAGATGCAAAGACCTGCTGCTTCCTTAGAAACCATTGAGAGTTGTCCATACTAAACACGTTTGTCCATTCTAAACACCCTAAATGTTCAGTGTTTGTATGAGCATCCAGTGTTTGGTCCAGACTTATGTTAATCCCTAGTCATGCTATACTTAGTCATAGTCACATTTAAGCAGACTTATTCAGTAAAATTGGAAAGTTTTGTAGATTCTCCAAGCCACTTCTCAATTCCAATGAGTGAAGAGAAGATTCCCTAGCATTTATATCCAGATGTTATAGATGTTACTTGTCCAAGAGCAGGATGGAAGGTGTGAAAGTTGTGGAACCTCCTCCTGATCTAGTTAAAATCTCATCTTTGGTGTCAGGAACTCTGCATATGTATTCTATCTTCTATCCACATTCAGACTGGGCTTTTGGTAAAACATCCAAAAAGTCAACCAAAAACATCAGAGCATCAAACAGAGGGAGAAGCAGAACACACAGAATAACATAGTCATCCCATATGTGTCTAGAGTGTCGGAATCTTTATCAAGCATCACATCCCCATGTCTTTCAAGCCTAGCAATACTCTGAAACAGAAGCTTGCTCATACAAGAGACCCAACACCCACACACAAGTGAAGTAACTATGCAATGAGTGAGGAATGCAAAGTCCACAAGAGTGGAGAGACAAAACAACCTCTCCAGAAATGAATATCCCAGCATAGGAGGGCAAATTCTATACGTCTTATAGACATTCCCACACCTTAAAGCCTAACTCCAGCTTTGTTATCACTTTAAATAGTTTGTTTGGGCCAGGATTTGACAACAATTCACACCTTTGTCATGTAAATTGTGGAATTAATAACTATGCAGACTTCCTGACACAAGGATGGAATTAGGTCATTAGAATCAGGTGGCTCCACAACTTTCATACCTCCCATCCAATTCTTGGAGAATCAATAAACTATACAATCCATAATGATTGGAGTAAGATGTTGGTGCTCTCTGTGTAGATATAAATTCTGTGGTACCTTCCTGCACTCAAACTGAAGAAGTGACCTGAAGACAAGGTCAACCAGTGCCCAGGGTGAATATGGTAAACTGCATTCCCACCCTAGGCGGAGAAGAAGGGGGCATGGCCAATAGCAGCGCACGCCACAATGTATATAATGTTTGTGGCCTACAATGAAATAGTATCAATTTTTATGGTTGTCAAGAATCTGCAGCAGGGATGGCCAGATCTGTACAACTTCACTTAGGAAACTGAGACCAAACCATATATATATTAAAGTGGATTTATTAATAGTAAGGCAAAAGGCATCCAAACACCAGCAAAGAGCTAACATAAAGATATACAGTAAGTGAACAATCATCCAAATGACAAAATACCTAATCACCTAACTATAATACAATAGCCACCTAACTATAATACAATAGCCACCTAACTATAATACAATAACCACCTAACTATAATAAAATAAACACAAGATAAAGAACAGAGGACACAGTGAATTCCAGATATGTAAGGAATGGAGAAATCAGGAATGGGATCAGGAACAAGTGGAGCAGATATAAGGGTGAAGGATGAAGGGCAAGTGCAAGATCAGGAGCTGGAAAAATGGCAGCAGCATCTGACTTAGCACAGCAAACCAACTGACATGAACTTTAATAGCAGTAAAGAGATTAAATACCCTCCCAGCAACCAGCATTAAATGAAGACTGGTTACTAGAAACTGCCAGCTGCTGGGAGACACCCACTGGAGGACACTGGAACTGCAACCCTCTGCTCAGGGAACCACAGTGCCATCAGCAGGTGAACCAGGTCCTGACAGTGGTCCACTAGAGCAAACTGAAGTGTTTAAAATTGGCACACAAATACGGGCCTAGAATTTATGTAGGAAAAAAATCTAACAGCATCATTGGTGTCACTAGAAGGAAAAAAAAATCTCCTACGTCAGTGGTGTTGTTAAGGAAAAACGGTGTTGTGTCAGTGGCAGACACTTCCAGTGGCTCCCCACCCTCCCTCCACATAGCAGCACTATACCTGGGGTATGCATCCTTTCTGCTCCCCCCTTGACCAAGCCCTGCTTGGAAAAGCTATGAAACGCCTTCAGTATTACAGAACAAGTCCAGTTGAATGTGACTAACTGCTCACCTCATTCAAAGGTTATTTCTGTCAATGAATGCAGTCATCAGAAAACAAATTGTTTTGTCTCATAAGTGATGTCTACTATGATGTACTTTGATGTATATTGCACAATGGGAGTCGAAATTACATAAAAACAGCAACTCTAGTATGCAAAGTAGAAATAAATACAATAGCAGAGGACAATGGCTAATTCCAGTAATTGTGTTCCTGTTGTTTTTTTAGGTGTCAGTGTCTTAGAGAGCTCGCCTTATGAGTCATTTGTGAGGGGGTTTGACTACGTCAGGCTGGCGTCCATAACAGCAGGTAATGAATTCCTCATTGTATTATCACACAACATGTGCAGAATGTGTTTGTGTCACTTGCAGTAACATCAGAAATTCTAACTTTTTTTTTGGAGCGACTGCAGGTGTTTATGTAAGGATTCTTGCGGGTTTACAAAAAGAACAACCCCCATACGCCCCAAAAAATTATTTATGTTATCCTTTATTCTGGAAAATCTGAATCCATTTTTATCATTCCATGTTACCATTGCATGACTATTCAACAAAGTAATTGTTATAAAAGTTGGAAGAGTTTGATTAATCGTGAACCATATACCCAGAGAAGCCTTATTTCCAGCTGCTCTTGCTTTGGGCAGAGAAGGAAATGTAAAGACTTTTTTTTTTCATTTTTAGTTTTGGGTAGAGTAGGAAAGGATTAGAACCCCCGTGAGGGTTTTATTGCTATTTGTGTCACCAATGGGTAAATTCACCCAGTCTGTTTGTTCTGGTGACCATTGTCACTGGGACAGAACATGATGGGAGATACACCAGATGACAACTCACTGAGATGGGAATACACACAGGAAGTGAAGGTGAGTCTCCCCAGCAGGACACAGGCAGAAAATCATTCTATAACAGATATGGAAAAATAAACTTTGTTTAATGCTACTTGACCCTGACCATTGTCATGACATAAATCCTAACACCGACCCTGGCACTAATATAAGTCAAGCCCTGACCTAGCTATTTGATCTTTATTTAATTACACAGTGGAAGGATGTCATCATCAGAGGCTGTCCATCCAGAAAGAAGTGGGCAGGAGTAGGTATGGTCAGGCACTGATTGATAAGCTATAGGCTTGTGAATTAGTAGTAACAATGGCATGTCCCCTGCAACCTCATCTCCTCCCACTGTAGTGTAAGTGGGCACATCCTACATGAGAACAAGAACTCTGCTCTGAATTCAGGAGCAGTACAGCATTGCTGTAACCCCATCACAGGAAACTGCATTAGGTGGACTTCACTAGCAGGATCAACAGGTATTTTTGGATCATCAGGGGACTAAGAAAAAAGCGTAAGTTTGGATATACTCAGCAGATTTTTTTTCCCCAAATGCAGACGTTATGTGTTTGTAGAATACGCCTGTATGCTATACATGGATTTATGCTTGTACCGATGTATACCCTAGTAGAGCATCTATGGACGATTGTATACAGTTCCTGGGCTTCCTGGCCCGGAATAAAGCCAGAATGCATTGTTCTATGCCCATAATGTGTCCATGTCATGAGACCTAAAGGAAGAGTGCACTTTAAAACAAGGTACACTTATCCTTTTTGCCCCCTTCTACCGACCTAACCTAACCCCCCCTCCACAGATGTGTGCTTATCTCAGGCCAATGGTCACAGACTCAGGTGTTTGTGTACATCCCACAGGGCAAATATTTCCCTGTTCTGGCTGCAAATGCACATTGCAGCTCTAAAGACTTGTTTAGGATCATATCCAACCTCGAGACACAATCCTGTAGATGCCTATAAGGTTATAATGCACAAATGCAGCCAGGACAGTGAAGACTTGCACCGCTGAATGTAAACAAATCACGTGTTGTACGTCCTAATGTGCCCGTGTGCATGAGATCTAAAGGCTACACTTTAAAACAAGGTATCCTTTTTGTCCCTTCCCGTGACCTAACCTAACCTACCCCCCTCCCCCTCCACAGACACTTACCTCCCTCAGTCCAGTGATCTTGAACTCAGGCATTTGTTTACAGACAGCAATGCAGATCTTCCCTGTTCTGCCTGTGAGAGCATATTACAGCTCTGTAGACTTGTATGGGATCATCCCGGATCATACCCAGCCTTGAGACATGGTCTCATAGAAGCCCACAAGACTGTAATGTGCAAATGCAGCCAGGACAGTGAAAACGTGCACTGCTGAATGTAACCAAACCACATGTTGTACACCCCTAATCTGCCCGTGTGCATGAGACATAAAGAATGAGTTCTCTTTAAAACAAGGTGCATTTATCCTTTTTGCCCCTTCTGCTGACTTAACCTACCATTCCCCTCCACAGATGCTTACTTCCCTCAGTCCAATGGTCCTTGGCTAGGTGTTTGTCTACATTCAGCAGTGCAAATATTTCCTGTTCTGGCTGTGAGTGTGCATTACAGCTCCATAGACCTGTATGGGATCATCTATGACCTTGAGACAGTCCCATAGTAGTCTACAAGGCTGCAGTGGGAAAACACGGCCAGGGCAGTAGGGACTTCCACTGCTAAATGTAAGCAAATAACATGTACACCCCTAATGTGTCCATGTCAATGAGGATGAGTGTATCAGCCTCAGGATCTGACCCCACGCCCTCTGCTGCATCCAGCAGTAGATCTCCTTGCTGAGCCACCTGAGATGCTGAACAGCATGCTGTCTAAAATCTTGGATAATCTTGTTTCTGGTGAACCTTGGACTCCTTGCTTCTCCTATGAACGTCCTATTTAAGCCATGCCTTTGTACTTCTTGTTTGCCAGATTATTATGCTCACTCCAGCCAATATCTTGCTCCTTTGTGTACCTGCAACTGTCCTAATCTCAACTACCACTCGTTATCGACCTTTGTCTTGTTACACATCTGCTTGATCCTAACCTGCAACCACTTGTTACCGATATTTGGTTTGTTTACTAACTGTGCTTCTGCTTGATCCGTACCTGCTATATCTGCTACTGAACCCCGACTTGCTTACCTCCTGGTGGGGCGATTCTGAGGACCCCCATCTGGTACTAACATGCAGCAAAACCCATCACCAGCAGTAGGAGCTCTGGTGAATACAAACCACATGTGGTAACCTCATTCATTCATTCATTCACTGATTGGCAGCATGGTGATGACGTAATTGGTATCCCTTGATAATGGCTCCTGATCATTGGTAGTTGACCATGAGCTGTTGGTGACAGCCCAGAGCACACCCTAGAACAACGCAGCAATGCATATATGCAGGGCTTTTTTTCTGGTGAAATGTGCCGGAATGCTGTTCCAGCACCTCTGCCAGAGACAGTGTGGGAGGCACTGGGAGCAAAGCCCACTGCCGCGCCAAAGTGATCATATGGCGGAGCAGGCGGGCAGGCAGGTGGGCAAAGCAGGTGGTCAGACGGACGGAGCAGGCTGGCAGGCAGCCAGAGCTGGCAGGCAGGTGGGAGATACAGCATAACTCTGGCCGCAGCCTGAGAGAGTGGAAGGTGGAGTGATCTGCACTCCGTTTCACCTCTTCCTGCAAACAAGAAGCTTGTTTTGGTGCCACTGTGCCAGTGAAGTTGATGTGGAGCGGTGTGGGGCAGATGGCCATGTGGGAGACAAGTCTCTGTGGAGATAAGCCTTTTTTGGTAAATTAGCTGTCAATGCTGCTGGTTGGGAATTTTCCTGTGACTGTCTCTTTGCTGGATTGGGCTATCTGTTTACTGGATGGAAGCTGTCTCCTGCTGGATATGGGGCTGTCTATTGCTGGATATGGGGCTGTCTCTTTGCTGGATATGGGGACTCTCTCTCTTTGCTAGCTGTGGGGCTGTCTCTTTGCTGGATATGGGGCTGTCTATTGAGGGATATGGGCCTATCTCTTTGATAGATATGGGGCTCTCTATTGTGGGATATGGGTCATTTTGCTGGATATGAGGCTGTCTCCTTTCTAGAAATGAGGCTGTCTCTTTGCTGGATATGGGGATGTCTCTTGCTGGATATGGGGCTGTCTATTGCTTGATATGGGGATGTATCTTACAGGATATGGGGATGTCTCTTGCTGGATAAGGGGATGTCTCTTGCTGGATATGAGGATGTTTCTTACTAGATATTGGGCTGTCTCTTTGCTGGATATGAGGCTGTCTCTTTGCTAGATATGGGGCTGTCTATTGCTGGATATGGGGTTGTCTCTTTGCTGTGTATGGGACTGTCTCTTTACAAGATATGGGGCTGTCTATTGCTAGATAGGGACCTGTCTCTTTGCTGGATATGGGGAATGTCTCTGCCTGGATATGGGCTTCTCTTTGTTTGATATGGGGGATGTATTTTGCTAGATATGGTTCTGTCTCTTGCGGGATATGGGCCTGTCTCTTGCAGGATATGGAGCTGTCTCATTGCTGGAGTGGGTTGTCTGTTTGCTGTTCTGGGCTTTTTGTTTGCTGCGCTTGGTTGTCTGCTGGATTGGGCTATCTGTTTGCTCGATTGTCTCTTACTAGATATGGACTTGTTTCTTTGCTGGATATGAGCCTGCCTCTTTGCTGGGTATGGGCCTGTGTCTTTTCTTGATGTGGGTCTGTCTCTTTGCTGGCTATGGAGCTGTCTTTTGCTGGATATGGGACTGTCTCTTACTGAATTTGGGGCTGTCTGCTTGCTGGATATGGGGTTGTCTTTTGCAGGATATGAGCCTGTCTCTTTGTTGCATACTGACTTGTTAAAATTGTCTGGAAGTGCCTTTGAGCTTACTTTGGAAAGTGCTGAATATCTCTTACATTTTCTTGTTCAAACATTTTATTAACAATAAACCATAATGTTACAAACGGAGACTTTGTTAATGTACAGTGGACATTGAAGTGGCAGTAGGACATAGAAAAAATGAATGAGGATCACATTACAAATGTCCATATAATTCTAGCGGAAACAGGTACATAAGAGTCGACTACAGATGACATTGTTGTCCCAGCCAATCAAAGTATTGTCTCCCAAATACAACAAAGAAATAGGGGGAAGTTTGGAAGGGGGTCAGACGGGGGTGGAAGGTAGGGGAGGGAAAGAGGAACGGCAACGATGACTCCATGAGCATTCATCAAGTTTGCAGCAGACCTCCAGGTGCTGCCTACGAAGGGCTACTGGCAGTGTCCTTGGCGCACAGTATACAAATCAAGGAAGAAGGAGTGATTCATCAAAGTTAGGCAGGAGGAAGCGCTCTACCCAGGGGCTCCATATGCGTAAAAATTTAAGAATCTTGTCTAGAATTGTGGCTTCCACCTTTGCATGTATCATGGCTTGTGTTATTCTGGTTTTGACAGCTGCAACACTTAGGGTG